GGAGGAGGGGGAGGAGGGGAGGAGGAGGAGGAGGAGGAGGAGGAGGAGGAGGAGGGGAGGAGGAGGAGGAGGAGGAGGAGGAGGAGGAGGAGGAGGGGAGGAGGAGGAGAGGAGGAGGAGGAGGAGGAGGAGGAGGAGGAGGAGGAGGAGGAGGAGGAGGAGGAGGGAGGAGGAGGAGGAGGAGGAGGAGGAGGAGGAGGAGGAGGAGGAGGAGGAGGAGGAGGAGGAGGAGGAGAGGAGGAGGAGGAGGAGGAGGAGGAGGAGGAGGAGGAGGAGGAGGAGGAGGAGGAGGAGGAGGAGGAGGAGGGGCCTTCGGAGACTCCTCGAAACCGCCTTGGGGGCGATCCAGGGCTCCCTGGAGCAGCCTGGACGGTGGTTTGGGGCCGATCATGGGAATACGGCTGGGAATTCCCAGATTTTTTGGGGCCTTCGGGGATTCCTCGAAACCGCCTTGGGGGCGATCCAGGGCTCCCTGGAGCAGCCTGGACGGTGGTTTGGGGCCGATCGTGGGGATACACGGCTGGGTCGTGGGCCAGAGGTCTCGTGGACGTATCTTGTGCCTCTCGAGGTCTCTCGGAGCACAATTGTAGGCCTCCTCGCCACCGGCCCTGCGCGGCAGGCCCAGCAGCTCGCGGCCCTCTGGGCCCCACGGGGGCGGTCCGATGGCTGCTCCCAGCAGGCTCTCTCTCTCTCTCTCTCTCTCTCATGGCGCCCACAGCGCAGAGCGGACTCCGCTCGGAAAGCGATCGGGTGGGCCCGGAGTGTCCTGGAGAATTTCGCTCTGGAGTTCGAGGTGGATTTCCTGCTGTGTGTTTTGGGCAGGAATGGAAACCAAAAAGAATCCACGCGGAAGTAATTTCGTGTTTCGCTCGCCTCTTCGGGCAAACATCCACGCAGAGATCCACGCCGAAATCCGCTGCAGCACATCTGCAAGGCCGGCGCAATGATCTCCCAGCGCCGCGCCGTAGCGGAAAGCCTCGTCCCGCGCCGCCGGTGCATGCTGGAGGTGGTGTTTGCCGGCGCTGCCCGCGCGTCAGTCCTCACGCGCGCCTCCCCGTGCCTGCGTTTATGATGCTCCAACCTACTTTAGCCTTGATCACCAGAAAGAGTTTCGAGCGCCAGGAATTCAAGGGTTTTCACGTGTCGGGCCCTGGGAGACACTCGCCCGACACTGTTTCGACCGACACTGTTTCGACACTATCTCGACACTCTTTTGACACTTTTCCGGGTGCTCGAAATTATTTCTGGGATGTGGTCCTTAAGTAGGATGGGAACTACATGAGCCTCCGTGGAGGGGCTCTGCTCCCGGAGCTCCCGGAGGCGAGCCCATAGGGCTGCTGCAGGCGCGTCGTGTCGGCGTCGAGTCCGCAGCCCTGCCCGCCGCGTCGTGGAGCGCCGCGCCGTCGGCGTCCCCCCGCGCCCCCCTCCGCCATCCCTCCACGCCCCACCACCCCTGAGGACCTCATCCCATTGCGTTCCCCTTCCCACACCCGCTCGCGTTGTGGGAAAGAACGCGGCGGGAGGCTCTCCCGTGATTGTCGGCCTCCTGGGGGCCCTTCCCGGGCCCTCGGGGCCGTCAAAAAACTACTCCCTAGGAAAAACCGATCCCCGGGAAGGGGTCCAGACTTCCGAGGGCCACGTCATGGAAAGGACGATCAGGAGGGAAAGAAGCACACAGACACAATGAATCGGTGATGCCCCAGAAAATATTGGAACATATGGGAAGTGGGGGGGAAGACAAGCACCCAGAAAATATGGGAGCATGTGGGGCATCCTGTTCTTTGTGTGTATCTATTTGCGCGTCCCAGGGCCCCTTCCAACCAAGACGTCGGACGCCTGGACTCCTCGAGCCCGCCCCCGCCCCCTCCTCGACGGACCCGCTGCCGCTGCCTCTGCAGGCGCTCGCCGCCTTCTCGGCGCAGCGCGCGCCCGACGCCCGGAGCCTCGTGGAGATGCAGCACGGGCTGGACCAGCCGGGCCGGCTCAGGACGCCCCGCCCCTGGAGAGGGCGGGGCGACTCGGAGGGAGGAGAGGCGATGCCAGCACCACCAGGGGGCCCACCTCCAGCGAGGAGGTCCGCGATGCCTCCCCCCGAGCGAGAGACCAGGGATGTCTCGAGCGAGAGGGGGGGGCCACACCACCAGGCAGACCCCCCCTTGCCTCCGCGCATCTCCTCGCCCTGTTGGTGTTGGTGTCGCCTTTCCTTGTTCCTAACGATGGGGCGATGCAGGGGTCGAAGCAGAAAAAACAGCGAGGCGCCGCCAGGGGGGGGGGGGGCGCAGCGCGGATCCAAGAGATGCGCGCTGAGTGCTGACCACTTCTGTTTCTGCAGTTGCGTCCTGGCTGGGGGGGAGGCAGGTAAGTCAGCTGAGGAGAAAGGTCTCGTCACCACTACCCCTGCACCGTTTTTCGTTTTTGTCTGTGTGGGCTTCCTGGGAGGACCTCGTCGCCACTGCGGGATTCGTTTCAAATTCTGGTCAGAGTGCAGCCTGGGAGAGGTCTGGGGAGTGTCAGTATTGATATCTTTTTGGTTCCGCCATGGGGAAGTCTTGGGGCGTGTTGGGTGCCTCTTGGGGACCTCCTGCGGCCTCCTCGGGGGCTCTCGGGGCCTCTTGGGCGCCTCTCAGGGCACCCTGGGGGCGTTCTTGGGGGCCATGTCGGAGGCAATTGATCAGCGCAGGGGGGGTGTCCCCGATACCCCGCCCCCCCCAGGAGGCCAACATGGGCCCAACTCTTCAGTAACAGCTATGTGTGTTTTTTGTGCCGTCTCGCTGGCTCCACTGTGGGCCCTCGAGCGACCCGCGCGGCGCCTCGTCCAGACCAACCAAGAGCGGGTCTGGCGAGGGGTCGAGCGACCCCAAGCCGCTTGCCGTCTCGCTCACTCCCGCCCGCCCTCTGGACAGATCGAGGCGCCAACATCGCAGAGCGGATGTTGTTTGGAACACGATGGGGTGGGCCCGGAGAGTCCTGGAGTGTTTCGCTCCGGACTTCGAGGCGAAGTCCGTGCGGGTGTTTCTCTAGCCAGGAAGGAAGACCGAAAAGCATCCACGCGAGAATCGCTTCGTTTCTCTGTCGCTCGCCGCTTCGGGCCAGCATCCGCGCAGAGATCCGCCGCAGCACGTCTGCAAGGCCGGCGCAGTGAGACCTGCGGGCAGCGCCTCGGCCTCTGCCGGGGCCATTGCAGCTTTCTGCTTCCAGTGCCCTGCAGTCGTCAGTGGCACGGTGGAGTTGCGCTGGGAACAGCCCCCCATCGAGGGGCAGCGGATCGGGCGGTCTTCGCGCAGGAAGAAAAAACAAGCTAAACAGAAAAGCCTTTGAGGCCCCGAGGCCCCCCCGAGGCCCGCGGGCCCCGTGGGGAGCGCGGGGCAGACGGCCCGAGGGCACCCAGAGGGCGCCGCGGCGCCGCGGGGCAGCCGAGGCGGGCTGCCCCTCGGCAGGGGCGCCCTCGAGGGCGCGAGGGGAGTCGCGCTTGGCGCTTCGCGGTTCGGCTCCGATGCCTCCTCGTCCTCCTCCTCGCCCCTGGGAGGCGGCGCGAGGGCGCGGAGCTGTTCGCACGTCGCGCTCCGCGCGGCGCGAGAGCGCGAAGTTGGAGGGAGCTCTTGCTCAGCCTGCCCGCCCTGGAAGTCGATTCATGGCGAGGAAGCAGGCTGCCAACTAATACCCCCAGATGTCTGAAATATGTCTCAAACACGCTTCAAGTATGTACACACATGCTTGAGACATTTTTAGAACATTTTGAACGCATGTTTCATTCCATGGTCGGATTGTCAGAGTGTCCATCGTCATGGCATCCACAAGCCAAGCGGGCAGCCCGGGCGGAGCTGCCTCTGGTGGCCCCCCACGGCGCTGGCGGGCGCTCTGCACGGAGCCGCGCGGCGCGCCGTCCCCCTCGCCGCGGCGCGCGCGCGCGTCTCTTTGGCCAGACGCCGCTGCCGGGGGATGGCTCACGCTGCATCTTCGGGGGGCCTCGCTCACGCTGCGTCTGGGGGGGGGGCGTTCGCTCACGCTGCTCGTCCCTGAAACGTTGGTGTCTTTCCTGGTGCCCCACGCGGGCCCTCGGCGCGGGCGCGACGCGTGGCCTTGGCGCGGATCCGGCGCGGCGCCGACACGGACTCCGACGCGGGGCCCGACGGGGCCGAGTCGCGCGGACTCGGCACGGGGGGTGTGCGGCTCTCGCTGGGCGGGGCGCCCCCAAAACGAGCCAGAGGCCGCCGCAGAGTGCATGCGCTTGGCATCGCTCGGGCGTGTGCATTGTTCCTCCGGCGAGGACCATCGAGGAGCACCCTTGATCACTTGGCGAAAAAGCCACGCACGAAACCGAGCAAAAACACAGGAAATGGACGTCCGAGCGATGGCCAGTGCGCCGTGCGGCCTCTGCTCCAGGAGCGCGTGCCGCCGCCCCCTTCCCGGCCACCCAGCCCTGCGGAAGTTGTTTGTTGTTGTCCGGAGGTGGGTAGAGACCTCCCACCCTGACACGCCGATTCAGGGCTTGGCCGTTTTCGGTTCGCGAAAGGGCGTCGCGGCCGTCAGTTTTTGCCGGGTCCAGGTCCGTCGGTTTCGGTCCCGGGCCGTGTTCACCAAGGGGAGGTGTACCAGAGGGAGGTTGCTCCACCTCCGAGCTGTGGGGCACCCGCGCACGAAGCAGCTTGTGCCGCTCGGAGAAGCGAGGCCTCCTATATAGATGGGGTCGGAGCAGCTGGGGTCGGGGGCTCGTGCCGCAGCGCCGGTGGTGCATCGCCGATGCGGCTCGATGCGGAGCCCGATGTTCTTCACGCCCATGTCGCCGATGCATCGCCGACGCCGATGATGCATCGCCGCTTCATCACCGATGCATCGCCGATGCATCGCCGATGTATCGGCGATCAGGCGTGATCCGCCGACCCCATCTACTCCGACCCCATCTGGGAGGCCTCAAAAGAAGCAAACACGGCACCACCCTAAATTTTTGGCGGTCCGCGCACGAACCAGCTTTTGCCACTCGAGGAACAAGACACGGCTCAAGCATAAACTGTGGGCGGTCCGCGCGGATGTCTTGGATCTGCGTTGGGTCCCCCTGGCGGCGCCTCCCGCGCCGTCCCTGGCGCGCTTTTGCGCGCGCCAGGGAGGTGGCTCCAGCTCAGATCCAAGCGATCCGTGCGGACGGGCAAAATCTTATGTCTAGGCAGTTTGTCTTGTTCCTCTAGCTTCTGGGGGTAGGAAACGGGTATGGTACACAGGGGTGTCGTGCTAATTCTACGTACAGGGGGCCCTGGCGATGTTATTGATCGCAGATAGCATCGCCATTTCCACGATTGGTACCATACCCCTTTCCGCCACACCCCTTTCCGACCTCCAAATATCAAGGTTGTAAAAAATGCCCCTACCCTGGTTTACGAGGCGCTGTGCGCTGAACCTCCTGTGGGCTGGCAGGGTAGTCCCTGCGTATCGCGCGTGTCGCGCAGCGTCCTGGCGGCTCTCTGGCCTCTGGGAGCTCCCAGGAGGTTTACGGACCACGCTCTTGTCACCCAGGGTAGGGGCGTTTTTGCATCCCTCAGAAATAGCTTTGTGCGTTGACAGGGGTGGTGAGCTTTCGCAGGGCGGAGATTTCCGAAGGCATCGCCGCCGCTCCTGTCGCATGCCAGTGCCGCGTCGCGCCACGGGGCGCACGCGCGCACGGTGCGGATCTGGCCGCAGAGGGAGTTCTACATGTTGATTTGCCAGCGGTGTTAGGCTTCAGGTCGGGCCTGCCCCTCTACAGGGGGAGTGTTCGAGAATAGTCGAAAAACCGCCTGGGGACGATCCTGGACAATCTTCACATATGTTTGGCGCATGTCTGTTTTTTTGGTGTAAGAACAATGTTTTCGCACAAAATCCGCCTGTAGGGGGACACGCCCGACTTGATGTTAGGCCCGCACAGAGTGGATGATACGGTTGAAGGGGAAAGAACTGTGCATCAGCAACGCTCCGACGACAAAGAATAGAATTTCCCCCACTCTCCCACTGGCCTCAGTATTGGAATGCGTTGCGATCGAGATCTTTGGGTCAGATTTGTTCTGGCCGCTCATCTTCGGGACCAACTGCTCAATATTAAGACCATGGGGGGGGGGGCGGGGGGGGGGTATTCGAAGTGGACCCCAAATTCTTGATACAAAGTCTTTTCTTCAGCAGTATGAGGGCACCCCCGCCGTCCTTTCGAGCATCTTCTACAAAGTGCTAACGTGGCGCCCGCGCACAGTCCAGATTTGCCGCAATGTGGACGTCGCATTTTTCTTCACAGCGACGGGGGAAGGCCGTCATTGCCCCGGGTTTGTCGCAGGTCGGGTGGGGGAGGGGGTGTGTATTGGCACGAACAGTGATCAGGTTCCCAGCGGGAACGCCGCAAGTTGTGTCGCTCAAAAGCTTAAAAGCACCCGAGTCTCAGCACAGGCAGGGACCGCCATCGACAACCATCGGGAACCAGTGCAGACGCCAGCCAGGTGCGTAACGCCCGCGAGATGTGCCGCACATGCCAGGTGCGCCGCGAGCACCGGGTACGCCACATAGGGCAACATGCCTATCCTTGAGTCGGGCGTGCCCCTCTACAGGAGGAAAATTCAACAATAGTCCAAAAATAGTCTGGGGAGAGTTTTTCAGCCTCTTTCGACTATTGTAGGGCATTTTTTGAGTATGTTTAACTGTTCGCCCAGAGTCCCCCTGTAGCGGGGCAGGCCAGACCGAAGCCTATCTCCACCATCCCTGTCGAAAGCCGGTGCAGAGCGACGGCGGATCCGCCAGCATCGCGCACCCTGCGTGCACCCGCAATCCTCTGCGCCTGGCCTCGGCAGCGGCTCTGGGCTGCTGCTGCACGCAGCCGGCGACGTGCCGCTCCCCCCCCCGCCGTCCCCGGCCATCGCGGCGGCACAGTGACCGCGGCAGCCGCGCGTGATCTGGGGACGATGTTTGCTCATTTTGGAGCATTCTTTTTTGAGTAATTTTGAAATTTGTCGCGCAAGAGCCCCCTGTAGGGGGACATGCCCGACCAAAGGGTAGCACGTGTGTGGGTTTGGGCACACAGCAGGCAGTGTGCCGGCCCTCCCCGCCGCCCCTCTCCAAAGCCCAAGTCAGGTGATCGCAGGGCGACGGCGCACGATTCAGATTTTTGCTGCAGAGTGTACCTCGTATGTTTTTGATTGTTTGTGTTCGCAACGGATGGTGGGGAGCAGGGTGGCTTCGCACACAGCAGTCAATACGCCGCCACCCCAGCCGCAGTTGTAGACAAAATCATGCAAAGTGATCGCGGGCTGTCCTCGCGTGATCAAGAAATGGTGCAATACGAACTCCGTTTTCTTTGTCCGTATGGGATGGCGGGTGGGTGTTACAGTGTCCCGGGTGTGTCGCCAGTCGGGTTGGGTAGGGGGTACGTAGGGGGTGTCTATCAGTAAGGTACAGGGGATTGCGCTCTCTTTGAAGGAATACAAGGGAAGGGGAAGCGGAAATGCACCACTAAACCATCTACGCATTAAATCACCGAGCGCGTTCCAT